AAGCTGCATTTCCATACAAAGATAATGCACCTTATTGCTTACTGCTAAAAAATGTTGTATACTTGAGCGCCATTGTGATGGATTATGTCACAAGCAATTTTCAGGAGTCTGTACTTTTATTATTTTTGTAGTGAGTGCCCAGAACTGTGAGCTACAAATGTATAACTCTGTGTGCATGGGTGTTAGTTTTTGACGTAACAATACATTTTAAGTAGTTAAAGGTTCATCTGTTGGTCATTAGAGCAAGCTCCATATGTTGAATGAAGAGCTTGTTTAAAAGGTCCAAATCATTAGTGTGTGGAACTTTTGAGTATAGAATCTGCTCATTATCAAACTGTGCAGCATGTAATTGAAAATGATTGCCCAAAATGTGAAGTGTCTGTGATTAAGGAGCTAAAACACACTGGTATGGACCCCTAAATCCACATATTTGTTATCAGTGTAAAGCTTAGGTCATTAGCATGGATCTGCGTGGTGGTTTGTAGTGTTTTCAGGGACACAACAGCAATTTGGAAATAGCAGCACATGGTACAGTAGCTCTTGGGTAAAGCTCAGCTGACAGGTCTATTACCACCTATCTCCCCTGCAGGTGAATATACACCCCTGAGTCAGTGATCATGACTTCTATAACAAGCCTTTCAATATCGCTGCAGCAAAATCATGCATGGAGACACACACACACATGCTCACTTGATTTATGACCTTGAGACTGTGGAGGTGGGAGGCAGTGTTGTCATCTCCCAGACATGTTGACCAGAGCATGAGCTATTGAGAGAAGACAGGGAGGCGGGCAGCGCTGTAATTAACACACTAAATACATTAGGCTGAAAGATCCCACAGTACATCAACAGGAGATTGCCTGAGAAATGATTTAGTGCTAAAGCATCTGAGTTATGGGATGATTACTCTGTAAATGACAGAAGTGATTTAAAGAAACTCTGATTCACAAGGTCCCGGCAACATATGAATGCTTCCTTGAGTTGTTTTGCACTTGTGGATGTAAATTACTGATGCTTTTTGTAAGACAAAAACATCCATTCACTATCACAGCTGACAAAGGGCATTGCACTGACATGTTGTTCTAAATAAATCATTTACTGGGAGTTTAGTGGATTGTTTTTTATGTTGTGTTGTTTAATTGTCTTACTAACATTCCATTCTGTTGACTATGACAGAACAGGAGTGAATGACAAAATTAAAAAGACTTGTTGATTTCCCTATATCTAGGGTCCATTCATTTTCACAAAATGTGATCTGTTTTAGTGACCTCTAGTGGGCAATAGGTGGTGCCCGATGTTTGCACAACAGTTTTGTTCCAGAAATATAAGTTATAAATGTCTTTGCATTATCCCATCAATACTTTTTGTGCCAACTCAGTCAAACTATAAGCTGTTATAATAGTAAAGCTAACACAAAGAGACCAGAAATTATTTTTAAAAAGCACAATATTCTGTTGATGAAGCTAAGAGTGACAAACCCCATGGAGTTAATAATAAGATGTGCAGGCACAAAGTGATGAGAGGAATGCGGTTTGATCAAGCTACTCTAGATTGTCAGCTCAGCAGACATACAATGCTTGAGCTAACATAGTCTTAACCAGATTTATTATCATTAATCCACTGCAATTAGGAGCTACTGTACAGATACTGTACAATTCAAGCCACATGTACTGTAAGACACCAGATGCAGACTATACAGTGTGCCATCCACGTTCATCGTATTACAAGGTCTTCACATGACATCGACATGCAGTTCATTCCACTGTTTTAAAGCAGTGTCATTTTATTGCTGAATTATTAACTAGTTAGTATTTAAAAGCAGCTTGCGCTCACTCAGCGCAGTCTGTTTTGGCCACGTTTTAATTGTTTTGTTACCATGTTTGTGTAGAAATTGCAAATCCAATTATAAATCGACCACAAATGCTGGTAACAGGAGTTTGAAAACAGAGCCTTAACACAATTACACACTACATTATGAAAGCTAATGTCAGTTTAATTTGTATTTTTGAAATAATTTGTGGCAAATTCAAATATTCCATTAACAAAAAACACTTTAACACAAATTTTATTCAACCGATGAATCATATCAGTAACTTACAGTCAGCCACGTCTCACACATGCATTATTAGGAGGAGGCGATCCTCGTGCCATTGCATATGATGAGTGCTTCTCTTCCACTGTTACACAAAACAATGCAGAGCTTTGTGCATGTCATAGAAGGCATCCGCCTTTATTGACTTAGGTAAGCCGTGTTGCTGCTCATGCACTCAACATTTAGAGATAACTTCCTCTGTCATAATACAGATGAGGGTGAAACACTGTGAGTTGTGCCCACTCCCCCTCTCACATCAGCCCCTGCTAATTACCTGAGCATATACTAAGCTGACAGGTGAAGGTGCCTGATGGATGTCTTAGTGGGTGGGGGGGAAATAAGCTGGCTAGGTTTGACACCACTCCACTCCTGTGACCCACAACTGAACTTGGACCTGTGAGAAAATAACAGGTTCTCCTATTAGGCTGCCAGTGTGTCACCACAGAGCTCAGGGCTGTTTCTGGAAGTCGTCCTTACCTCGCCTCACAACAATTAGCCTGCATGCTCACCAGCCTGTGGAGACTAGCAAATTGCAGTTCCTTGCAGACTTTCCTCCCTGCCTGCCAGCCAGAGCCTTTGTTTTCACAAGGATATTTTGTAGGAAAATGTTTACGCTAATTCCCTGCAATTAACACTGGCACACGTTACCTGCTCCAAAGTCTTTCTAAAATATTTATTTATTTATTCCTGACAATTCTAATAAAGCATGACCATTTGTATTATTCCTGACATATACATTTAAATACAGGCAACATTCACGTGTACACGTTTTGTACTGAAATAATAATTATCCTGCTAATTATACTGAAACCACAATAAAAAAAATCAACTGATCAGAAATTATTTTGAAAAATAATTGATAAAGCTGCTTCTTCAGTTAGTATGTTCTCCACAGGAAAATCAGATAGAATGCTTTAAATAAAAAGACAAGACGAGCTAATATCCTCTGTTCTGTTTTCCATACTTGATCTTTATATTGCAATAAATTCATTAATTAATTTTTAAAAAACTACCATTATTATGTAGAAAAGAGCTGGAATCAGCCACTTTTGACAATCTTGACTTTTTTAGTTAAACCATGTTTAATTTATTTGTTTACTGAAACTGTTCAACCATTTTTTCAAAAAGAAGTGTAGAGGCTTCTTCTGTTAAATACACACACGAAGCAGACTTAAAGTGTTTACACAGGGCGTTAAAGCACAGTACGCATCAGACAATGATAACCTGCTCTCTTTGGTTTAGAATTAATCCATGTCCGGTATCAGGCATTAAAATACACTTTAGGCTGGTCCTCACTTACTCAGGGTCAAAAAGGAGCCCTTTAGGCGCACTGCAGGCCGTCCTGTTTGCAGTACAGATAATGGTGATAAATGTCACATTATGAAGCACTTAAATGCTTTGTTCTCTTGAATGTGATTTATGGCAAACCTTGATTATGGTTTGTAGATCTTGAAAACCATCCTCAGTAATGGATTTTCCTGAATTTTAACCTGCCAAAGCTACTGCAACTGTTTGATTTACACACGCACACCGTAGGAGAGTGGTATAATAAAATCCTTCAGTCAACTGTGGTTTGCTGTTGAACTCTCATCATTATACAGGCCAAACCAAACAGGCAAAAACAGTTTTGTGCAAAGTAGAATATGCTTGCAATAAATAAATTCATTAATAGATAACAGCATAATTCGTTTGACATAGTGTTTTTAAAAATCTAATCCAGGGATTTTTTTTAAGTCAAGTGTTTCAGTTGAAACCCAAAGCAGTTGCACCATAATAATAAAAAGCGGAATGTAAATGAAAGATATTTTATTACACGTATTTAAAACCATACATGCACATTTGTATGTAGTAAAAATTATTTTAAACAAACCTAAAAAAAAAAACCCTGCAAACAAGCACTGAAAAACAAGCATGATTTACATCCGGAAAATACTGCATGCTTCATATGAAACAACAAATCATAAATGTTTGAAAAGAAATAGGGGTGTGAAATGTATATAGAAACTGGTGACAGGCTTTTGAAGACTGTTTATGTTAAGGCAGGTCTAACATACTGACTGTGGTGCTCATGCAAAGCCTGCAGGCTGAAAGCCCCTTTGAGATTTTAAATGTTCAGCATTTGCCTGTGTGCATCTTAGCACAGGTTATGATTTATTCTCTCGGAGAACCTCTGACAGCTTAAGAGTCTTAGTAGCCCCATGGCAGAAAGCAAAGTCAGCCTGACTACCATTGAAAAAGGAATAAGAAAAGATCATGGACAACTGTGTCATTATACATACAAACTATTTTAATCCAATTCAAACAGCATTAAAAGATACTGTTTTACATAGTATATATCCAAAAGGCCACATATTTTATACTTTATACATATTTACACAGTATGATACAGTGTATGACTTGGCAGAAATGTTGATTTTTAGACTGCAAAAAAATGCAAGCTGTGAAGAAGAACTCAACTGTAAATTGTCTCCAAAAATGGCACTTGTAATCAAAAATCACTGTAAAAATATACTTGCATTTGATAGTTTTTTTAAAATCAACACTTTAAAAGGCTTTCCTCTGAGATAGACAAGGCACTGGAGCCATTTCATATTGTAGTTTTTGGCAGGGAAGAGTTATTTAAAATACATAGACATACAGTAAGGCAAAGTTTGATAATTTGGCACATGCACTATGTGAGGCAGCTTTGTCTGATAATGGATAATGATCACGATTAAGGCGGGACTGACCTGTTTGGATTTGACAGATTTACACTCATACTACAGACCAAAGGCCAAAGTTTTTCCAGTACACAAAAACGTAAAGGCTACATTAGGTAGTAGACTGGTTGCAGTTATCATGTTTCCAGTCAAATTCCTAAACCAAATGGCTCTAAGCACCACGCAGTTTTATTTATTCTTTTTTTTTTTTTTTTTACAGTGATCCTGAGGCATACACTTGTTTTCAGGTTGGCATTAGTCTTTCATTGCTTTGTTCTTGCTTAGCTGGCTGCGTGAGTCTCTGACTGCACTAGGAGTGGCAGCTCTCGCTCAGATTCCTCCATTGCACCAGCTGGATTGTGAGTTTCTGAGCTGAGATCTTGAGGTTCACGCTGAGATGCCTCTCCTCTGTGAGCCAGCAGTGCTTCCTCAGCCACTCTCCTCATCCTCTCCTCTTCCTCCATCTTCATTCTTCGCTCTTCAGCCTCTATTTCCTCTGTGGTAGGAATAGAGTTCTTCTTGGGTCTTCCCTTGGGCTTAGTCGGGGCCTCGTGACCTCCTTTGAGCACCTACAATAACACAGAGATAATCTTAGTGGAGTCCTGTGGTAATAAATGGCAGCAGTAGTCAAAGGTAACGCTTGCTATTATAGTAATTAAGGGAAGACATATTGCTGTTGGTTGCCCCTTGTGATCTCATTTATCTTTAGTGATTTCAGGTCTTTTCTTGTTCTCTGGGTCGTTGACCTTTTTACACAAGCGTTTGCTCTCACTGTTGTCAGTGGTCACACCTCACACTGCACTTAGTCTCTCCACACCCTCTCTGCCTGCCATATTGATACTTCCCATTCACTTCTCTTGCTATTACAGTGAAAACTAACTATATTGCAATAAATTCATTAATTAATTTTTTAGAAATATACTTGCATTTGATAGAAGTTTTATTTATTCTATATGAGGACGCAGGGACTCTAGAGGTTAAGGGAGAGTAAACACGCTGTATTCCTATATACCTCAAAAAAAAAAAACTAACTGAATGTGAAACCATTTTTCTGCTGCAGTACAGGGCTGCAGTGATAATGTCATTTCCAGCTGTAATATTAATATTTAAAATTATTTTGGGCCCTTTAACATCACTACTGACACTGCTAAACTTGTTTTCTGTCAGGTTGCTGATTTCTGACAACAGGACTTTAAGTTTTGCGGGTGGCGATTGTCTTTATTAGGTATGTTGTACCCGGTACTTTTTACCATACTGACTCTGAGAGACGAGACAGTCCAAGTAACTACAAAACAGTGCTGATTTATTCCATGAACACAGGCAAAAATTAACATTACACGCTCAGGCATCTTGCACCTCCAACCTGCACGCAGGCAGATGAAAAATGAAAGACCCCGAGCCACAACAGGCCTGTACATTATAGGTTGGGCTAGCCCCATACTACATAGAAACGTCAACCAAGACGTCTCTCTTACCAGCTTTGTAGCTGGCCATAGCAGTAGTCAAAACATGAAGCAAATCAATGTGTGTGTGTCTGTTGATTAAGTGGTGTGTAGCTAAAAACATTCTCACACGACCTCTAGTACATGTCATGTCTTAAACATAAGAACATATTATGGCTAAGGCTACAGTTATACACGTCATAATAATAATAATATTAAACATCCTGTCTGCTGACGGTCATCAACTCTTCTCTCTAGTTATCCTTGACCAGATGTACCCTGTAGAAACTCATAAGCATGACTAAGCATTTAACAGTCTAACTAGACATCCTATCTCCACTAAACATTTCTAATACATAAAGTATCTATCCAATTTCTATCTGACTAAAAATACCTAACAGGTAACATTTTTGTGAATATGACGAAGCGGAAAAGGTGGCCTACTGTATATAGCAATGTCAGTAGTGTGGATAACAGCGTGCTGTAGCAGTGAGCGCTAAAACCCAAAGCTGAGTCAGCATTTTTGCACTCTGCCTGAAATAAGGTCTGTGATGAACACAAGGCCAACATGTTTTGTTCTATGAAATAAAATAACTCATTAAATACCCCATTTGTGATTTTTTTTTCCTTTTTTACATCTTAAAAAGGTGGTTGCTAACAAGTGGCTAAATGAGACTACGGAGGCTGTCTGTTTTTAGCCTAACAATAGCTTTTCATTTTTGGCTATTGTATTTGGGCTTCCAAAATTATAAAAGTGGTGTTCACTTGTGAATATTATCTTGCTGAACAAAACTTGAAAGTGTCATAAACTGTGGTTTGTCACAAAGCTTATTTTCTGCAATAATCCAAAAGCCTATAGAAAAATCCCAGTGGCTTTCTGTCAGGGGAACCAGGGCGATGCTCACTTATGGGTTGGCCCACAAGAAAATGTCTTCATCAGGCTGAAACCAGCAATATATGACAAGTATGTGCACTTAGATCTGACATGGAAGACTTGTACAAACAGACTTTATGTTTGTGTTTATGAAAAAAATCTCATTCTCAGACAGGCTAGGCACTAGTACGTATTTCTTACCATTTTCTTCCACTTCATACGCCTGTTTTGGTACCATGTCTTCACCTGAAGCTGTGTGAGACCAAGCGACTGTGCCAGGTCTAACCTGTAAAACCAAAACCACAATAGATAAACAATTAAAACCTCATGTATGATATAAATAATTCCAAGTCTTTTACAGAGATACTTTTGGTTTTGATTCCTTTCGCCCCCGTGTATAGCGTCAGTTCAAGACAGCAGAGGTTCCAAGCCATGAAATGGGAGAGAAAAATAAAGTTATCTTTAGCTCATAACAAACCAAAGTGCAGAGCATGCCACACCTTTGATGTGTTGATTTTAAAAGGGGATTTTCTCCACTGATGATTTTCCATCAGCTGCGTATTTAATTAATTTTTCTAAACAGTGTTGGAATCAGATATTTTGACAGGACACAGTATTTTGGCACAGCCATCCATGTGGGTGGTTGGTTTGGATCAACAAATTGTGCTCTGCCTCTGGGCTTCTGCTTTAAGATGAGGTATGGCACCTTTCCAACAGCTTCAGGCAAGCCAAGGCGTGATATATTTAACAATGCATGGTGGGAGTTTTCCCCACAGATTATATGTAAATAGAATGACAAATAAATTTGGTTTATTTTCAAATATGCTAAAGATTAAATGTGGTAAGGAGATACATCACAAAGAAGATATGATACTTGAGATATTTATTTGAAACTGTAGCTATTTGCACATCTAAATGCATGAATATATTGCACAGATAACACTGATTTACTCTTTATATCTACTATACATACTGTATGAGTAACGGGGTAGAGCATACAAGCAGCCAATCTTTATTTAAGGCAGTGGTTTACAGACAGTTTGAAGCATCAAGGAAAGGTTTTTACAATATTTATGGGTCAATACCCAATAATGGGTCTGGCTTGTACCGGAAAAGTAGCATGCAGGCCAAATATAAACACACTGAAAAAAAAAGATTTGTTGGATTTACTTAATTGTAACGTGTACATCGGTCCCACACAATGATAATGTGTAAAACCAACATAATTTTCTTTAGGGATTAACTTGTTTGAATTATGTTAACAGAGGAAATATGAGTGAATTGCGTTGCATATACTAGCATAATTTGTGTAAATCCAAAGACCCGGTGAGTCCTTTTTTTCAGTGCATGAGACATAGAATACAAATGGAAAATACAGTCTATCCTTAATATGTCAGGTCCCAAAAATAACCCACAGAATGGGTCACATATATAAAAGCACATATATTCACTTGGAGATTACTTCATCTTATTGTCGAGAACAAAAATGTACTTTACACCTGCACATGTGTGAAATGATTAGCAGTAAATCAGTGTAATACATTTCAGTCTGCTTGCATTGGCCGCTCTCCCTGTTTTCTTGAATAAGGCGGTGTTTCTTTGCTGGGGCTTTCTGCTGTTAGAGAGCTCAGGGTTAAAAGGTTTATCCTGTCTGAACTGGAATGATGAGATAATGTTCTGGCTTAAGCAAATTCACATTACATGTGACACTCCCCACAGGATAAATCAAAAAATATGACATTAGGTTAACCACGGCTTAATAATTACAGCTGTGCCTTTATGATTATGTGTGACATACAGGACATACTGTACTTTCAAATTGCACTCCTGGCATGCAGGTCACAGTTGAGTGACACTCGCATCAAGGTGAAATTTAATGACTGGTATGAGTCACTGGTTTGCTGTCTTTTATGTAACATAGTCACAAAATTGTTTTAGGTAGCTATCAAGTTAGCAGAGTCATGATTTATTGTTTTAATGTGCCCATACACTTAGTTGTGTGTTGTTTCACATCTCATCGCATGAGTGTTTTGGTGATTTGTGTATTTAACAGCGTGTGTAAACTACAACTCTAGTTTACCTAATCCCGTCTACAAAAATCTGTCCCATGAGATGAGAGTTTCTCTGTCAAACTGACCTGTCAGGTGTGGACAAGTACTTTTGCTTCTGGAACTTTTTCTCCAGGCCCATCAGCTGCAGCTCGGTGAAGATGGTACGACTGCGACGTGGCTTCTTCAGCCGAGGTGTACTGCGCTCTGTATCTGACTCGCTGCTGATGCTGAGGGGCGTCTGGCTGGGCAAGGGCTCTGAGCCTAGCGGATGCTGCGGTGAGAGCAAGGGCAGGTGTGAGGGGACTCGGCCTGGAGATGACGGCTCGGAGAGGTGGGAGGGCAGGTTGGGAGGCTGCTGGGTGATCACTGAGAGAAGCGGATAGGCACGTAGTGACGAGGAGCCTGGAACAGCAGAGACAGTGCGTCAGATGACAGAAACATACAGAAATGCATTAACGTTCAGTGCAGAAAAAGGATAAAAATCAGATATCCTTTTGAATCACTGTAAGTTTTTAGTGAGCTCTAACAAGCTCTGTGTTTGTACCATTATCGACCACCTGTGACTGCTTAGACAGGTTCATTTTTAATTGCCTTGTGTTTGCTGTGAAAAGTGTTTTGCTTTTGACCTCCTCCATGTAGAGGGCTGTGATCCCGATGACGCAGGCCGTGTTTTACACTGCTCCTCTGAACCCTTCAAATGAGTGATTATTTTGCAGAGCCGACTTCCTAACACAAAACCATGAGCGCACACTGTCAGCATGATGCACACACACACACACACTCAGACATGGAATGGGCTGTAATAAAATCTGAATAACTAAAGCAAACACTGTTCAGCTAATAAACTTTTTTCCTGTCTTCTGAGGATCCCTCTCGCTTTTGCACATGCGTGGAGTCATATACCAACACACACACACACACATACACAAACGTCTAGTCTTTATCAGAGCAGACAGGAGCAGCAAGACGCCAGAATCAATAAAAAGTAACACTTGTCTGGAGCCGAGATTGAAGGGAAGGAGACCAAGAGGTTGGCCAAAAGGATGTGAATATAATATCTACTAGAAAAATCCTTCCAGTTTCAAACATTAAAACCAATCCCTAAACCAAAATGTACAAGCACACTGAGCAGCGCACGGACTAATACATGGGCTGATAAGGAGCAGCACAGAAGACACATGGGGGATTACAGCAGTACAGGAGAAAGGTATAGAGGGAGCAGAGGAAATAGGAGGTCTTCACACACAACACACACAGCATATGTGTTTTTGGTTGTGTGCTGTCTCCTTAATCTCCCCACTGACCGCAACAGACAACATAAAGACATGAACGAACATATACACAGAAACATATACATCACTGCCCACAGAAGGCATAAAATAAGACCTTCATCTTGATTTTTAATACTATTATTACTAGTTTTTGTTACTTTCAGCAGTTCTAACAGTATTCTCCTTAAGCCCAGTGAGAAAATGTGGGGTTTAACCCAAATAAGAAGAATAAGAGAAGGAAGCACAACCAAAAAGATGGTGGAACATGTCTACTTTTAGTACTTTGAGTCTATTTATTGTATAGTAAGACATCATTATACAAACTGTGTACAAATATACATAAAACTCACAATTAGATGTAGGTAAACCACTAGGCACAAGCACTGCATGCAAGTATGCATATAGTACAGGTACAGTATGCACACACACATACACACTAGGTGCTGTCTTGGACTTATCATGACATCATAGTAAGGTGCTGAGGTCATCACCAATCTGCCAGTGTTAGATTACTGCAGTTGCAACAAGTCTAGACAAGAAGACCTCTGGTTGTGTGCGCTTGCTATCCATCTACACCTATATAGATGTATATTGATGCCAGTTTTTCTCTCTCTAAATCAGATCTGTCATGATGTTAGATGTTTTGATATCAATGAATTATCTAATTTAGTGTTTGTATTCCTTTATGGGAGGCGTTTCACATGAACACTTGTTGAAGGATGACTCATGGAATGGCATAAAAGTGCAAGGAAAGTGTCAGTTGTCATTCTGACGGAGAAAAATGTCTCAGTTTGTCTTCTCAACTGTCAGGAAATCTCTTGTCAACAAAGAGCTTGACGCTGTCTCCGGCCTCGGAGGGAGTAGGAGAGACAGAAAGAACGTGTGAGAGAGCAGAGGGAAATGTCAGCCCTTGTGGTGACTTTCCACTGACAGCAAAGCTGTTTCTCTTGACATGCTGTTGACAAGTGCCGTGGTCCTGTCAATGTCTACAAATAAACTGTTTGAGTAGCTGCATGAACACAACTCAGCCCTATAGTGCAAAGGCACACTGATACTCTTGATAATCACAGTTGAAATGTAAGGACTGGCACAAGTGCTTATGGTAAGCATTACAGAAAACATACCTGCTAAAAATAGATCAAGAAGAGACATTTGTTAAGCAATCCTTGTACTGTATGTGTTCTATTGATCATGTAGTTTTGAATTCTTAATCAGTGAACATTTTGATATTTGAAATAATTGCATAGAGAGTTAATTTTTACAACTACACAACAAAATGTGTAAATGCAGCAGCTTTTTGATGGTAAATTGTTTCCTCCGCCTACCTCCTCCCTCTCATGGCATCTACTTCTTTCTTTTTTTCTGAATATGAAGCTGAAATAGATGATTCATGCCATAGCTATGGCAAATGTACATGAACTTTAGCCATGGTTTGGGCATAAACTCTCTGCTGACAGCTACAAAGCTGCTCAGTTAAACGGGTTTTTGTGTTTTAAGCTTTGCCCTTTGAGTGCAAATCAAACACTGTTGGGGTGGGAAGGGCGAGCAGGCCACAGGAGCTTCTTTATCTCTCAGCTCATTGCTTTAATTAGAATCATTAAACTTCAGCACACGAGAGATTGGAACAATAATACTGGTTTTCAACAAATGGTAAAAGGAAGGTGTTATAATCTAATCTTTTGATTATAAATCAGTATTTTCCCAGGCGTAGTGACAAACATCTCCACCTGAAGTTGCACGGCTCGCTAAAGGCGTTACATTAAACATAACTGTTAACTATTTAATGTGAAATCTGATCCTGAAATCACCCTCTAGCATAAACTACTTTTAGAACTGATTTATTACAGCGCCTTTGTCAAGATAGTAAAATCTTATGGCAGCGGTTGTGCAGAGATGATGAGGAGATGACAGGTTGTCAAACATTATCCTTGACTAAAGATAGAAGATGTGTGTGCATACTTGCCTGTGTGTGTGTTAACATGGGCGTAATCAACCTTCTCAAACCAGCATTATACTTAATGGGAGACTTTATTGTCTGCAGCGGATTAAGGCGTAAGATGGGATGAAAACCTTTCTGATCACTTGGATTTTTTTTCTGTAAGCCCTCGGGCAGTAACAAACCAGTAAGCAGCAACCCTCAGGCATCACACACTCCTACTTTTTTTTTTTCATCATGCTGTCAGGTGAGATTAGAACACAGTTGATCTTAATCTTTCTCACCTCTTCCAGAAAACACCACTAAAAGCCCTGCCCTGGCTCCTGTGGAGAGATGGGACTCCAAATGAAATATTGTAACCTGCTATTACATTGTTCACTGCTGTTGCCTCTGATCCTGCTGTAACTGACAGAGTCAACTCCACAAGCCACTTTTACTATACAAAATGAAGATCTGTGGTTCATCACACATAAATAAAAATGGACTGAACGACCAGGACAGAGCTTGATTCACAAAACGATCTCTCAGGGTGTATCCAGAAAGTTGATATTTATGAGTGGCATACTAGGGAAACAGTACCAATCCAACAATGAATTTGCTATTAAATCCTTCAGGTCAAATTTTTAGCATTACTGTCTTACTGCGGCCTCCACTGGCAGCAGGAGGATATAGCACCCCTTCCTTTGCTAAATAAAGAGGTCAACTTTCAGTATTAAGGGAGCATGAAACGGCCAGCCACCTCTCTTTGGCTCCAGATCTGTCAGCTTGCCAGCTTCTATATCGAGCACTAAAAGCCATTGATGCTGGCAAATATATGGTGTCTCACACCCCCGCAGCTACAAATAAGTGGTGGGCACAGCGTTCTGATATGCAGGGCAGGTTACTCTATCCATCTGAATAGAAAAGTGCCAAAGCTCAGTCATAGTGCCCTCTAGCATACACCAATCCATATCAGAGGGATGAGGGAATTGCTTCCTTTATTTTTATCCGCCCACCGCTGTCATCATCAAATTGCAGTGGCTATTATTTCAGACTTTGGAGCAATTATTCTAATGGTTACTATGTACTATGTAGCACTGACGTTGTTTGAATGTATCTAGAATAACAGGGAAGACATTCTGTTTTGGCATTATAACATACATCATAACAAATTAGCGTTCTCATAGTATTTTTGGCAATTTAAGTCTCCCCTTTAAGCATAATACTGGCTTGAGAAGGTTGATTTAATCATAGACTGTAATATCTATCTATCACACAAAGATACAAATATTTCAAACACCTTGCTAAAATGTAAAGGAGGAAAAAAGCAATAGTACAGGTACATGAAATAGCAAAGGTTTTAAAATGAAAGTCCATGGCATCACAACTATCAACTTCGAAACATACTGATTTTCCTTCTGGATTTCTCCAGTATCAGAAAATATATCAGGGTGCACGATTATTATATTTTATAAGTGTGTTATAAGGTGCTACTACTGAATAACACCGGAAAAATCCATATGTCTCCATAAGGTATACCATATGGAGTTAAATCCAATTTAACTCCATATGGTATACCTTGTTCTGGGTTTCTGTGGTGCTGGCGCACTAACAAGATAGAGCCTAAATCTACTCTCTGCAAATGTCCAGCAGCAGCAAAACTCATTAGGCTTTGGCTTAGCATAACATGCGTATTAATCAAAGCAAATGAGATGAAATACACTAAAGGTTACAGCTCGGTAACCACGGGCTTGTAGGGTGAGGTTAGACTTTATCTTTCTTATCTGTCTTATTGCCTCTTCATTGACCATTAGGCAGATAACTTCAGCGGCTTGTCAATACAGTCGTATACCGTCTTGCGTTCAGCAGAAGCCCTTAAGCATCACTGACCTTCGGTGACTGCCTGTCTTTGCTGTTCACCACCAAACACTTACCTGCTGTGATTTATATTGTAAAGTAGTGAAGAGGGGTGAAGTCGCTAGGTTGCAACTTTAGGGGGAAGGGGGCATAAATTAATTGTGGCAAATTCTAAACTACTATAGCAGGATAAATTATGCAAAGGATGCTCTGTAGTTGCGACAAATAGTGGGATAATATTTTCATTTTCACAGCGTGTGTGCAGGGGAATAGTGATCACTAAATAATAACAGACAACACATCCCGAGTCCGGTGTCATGACCCCTCTTATAGGATGCAAAACGTTTTGCAGTGTAAATCACATTTCAAATTAAAACAGAAGTAATAACAGGTGTCACAATTTCCATAAGTAAAAATCCCAGATTATCACGGTGCAACCGCAATTTAATCGCATTCGAGTTATTTTTAACTGATGTTTCTTTCTTAATTAGTGCTTTTTAAAAAAGTTTTTGAAAAGTGCTCTTACCCGAACACGAATGAAGGGGCTTCGGCCGAACAATGAGTGAAGGACACACCGTGTAGAGAGAAAGTTTCTCAAAATAATCACAAGTCTCCTTGGAGAGGATCTCGTCAATCATGAAAGTCTTGTAGCGCCGCCTAGCAGCCTTCAGCTGCCCGGGGGAGGAGAGCCTCAACTCGGCTTGACAGTGCATGATCTGTCCCTGTGCGCCGTGCGCAATCTTCGCTGCACAATGTACCTATTTACCGATAACTAAGCTTATGCAGGTTTAGGCGTGAGGAAAAAGCGCCAACTTGAGCTTATGCGTTTCAATAACTCATTGTTTGTCTTTAAAAATATAGTTTAGCTTTTCCCTGAAGTGTCGTGGTGAAGTTCAGTCGCTTTCAACTTGAGCTGCTCAGGGCGCTGCTGCTCTAATGAACTGGCTACGATCTGTGCTCACACCCTCTGCTATATAAACCATCCCTGAACACATCTCTCTCTCTCTCTCTCTCTCTCTCTCTCTCTCTCTCTCTCTCTCTCTCTGCCCCCCCTTCTCTCTCTCTTACAAATACACCCGTGCACTGTGCACACAGAAGCCACCCCCACCCCTACCAAAAGAAATCCCTCCATAGGGTTTCTTTTAGATTTTAGTTGCAGACTTTGGCTACTCGAAAAGTTTGACTCAAAAAGTCGTCAGGTCACATTTTGAGAAAAATACAATATAATCAATATACATTGTCTATTTTCATCTATTTTAAGCGTATTGTGTTTCAGATAGACCTAATCAAAACACCTCTGTGGTATTTATTGAAGTTTGACTCACTTTATTTTTACCTCAATCAGTTTATTAATTTAGCTTTCGATTTTCTTTTCACCTTATGACATATTTTAAGTTTGCTTTAGACAGTTTACAATACACAGCATTCGATATTTGCGATATTTGAACTTTAAGTGCCATAGCTGGTGCAGTACGGGCGAAGAAGGGACTGGATAATCCTTTCTTTCTTTCTTTCTTTCTTATTTGTTAACCACTTAAATATAAAGGAGTTGTATCTTGTGCCAGCACCTAAGTTTGGTATTGAGTACCCATTTGGGCCAATGTTCAAATTAAACTTTTTATCCAATAAAAACACCGCAGCTCCAGGCTATTCATATCAAGATATAGCCAGAACTGCGGTCAATCAGGAGACGAAGATCACGCATTTTGCTGTTGTATGTCAAAGTGCACAAATCATTTTCAGGTCAAAGATGAGGATGTGCTGTAGAACATTATACCAAACATTACCTATTTTTACGTGGTATATAAAGCTAAACTCGGACCTATTATAAAATCAGCCAAAGTAACCAAATATATTCCAAGACTCCAGCCGTTTAAAACTCACGATGGTAAAGTCTTTGACTTTACTGACCCGACCCCCCCCCCACCAAAAAAAAAAATTGTATTATTGATCAACAAATGGAATGGGCGCCAAATAACAGCAGGAGCATTCTAAATCATTTTCCAAGTTCTGATTTTGGTGAAACACAATCCTACGGTCAGATTTATTGTAACAACTAATTTAATCTCTCCTGCTTCTTCATTGACAAAGACATTTTGTGCCTGTTATTTTGTTGGCTGAAAATCTGTCAATCAAGAATGTTTACAGCCTATAGCAACTATATTAGTAATATTTGCTGTCTTTATTTATTTATTACTTTTTTTGTGAGCCATTTGTCATACTGCAGTTTTGATAAGGTATTTCCTTTGACAAACTGTAAGTAATAAAAAACCTGTCTGGTATATCAATTTACATGTTGCCATTTAACTAAAATTAACAACAAATCGCTTCTGTGAGGAAAGTCGGTACAGGTAGAGTTTCAAACGTTACAATCAGAAACGTCGGTATCCTAAGGGGGAAAGATTATCATCACAAGAAGTGGAAATACATTTAACTCGCTGACGGCTTGTTCCTTTCGTGTTCAAAGTGTGGAGGATATGGAAGAGGAAATGTGAGAGCTGCGCACGGGAAAGCTGGGCTTCTTGTCAGAGATTTAATGGCTTGATCAAAAAAAAAGTAGGTGGGGAATGAGAACAACTGCTGTGGAGCAGTCTGTGGAACACTGGGGGCAAAACGGGTGCAACTTTTAATTTGAAAGCACTTGAAACCCAAACTTTTCTGAACCAGCGTCATTTTCTAGTTTCATTGAGGAAAAAAAAAGCAAAACAGTTTAACTGCATTTATGATTTTCAGCAAGCCCGACAATACATGGGATCATTTCCAAGTGATTGCAATACATGTTCACCTGTTTTGTAAATTAAGACGGGGTGAAAAATATGGCCTATGTATCAAATGAACCCACCAACCTGAAGCGGTGCCAAGAACGGGCAGTCATGGCCTCAGGCATCTTGTCACCCTGTGGGTCTCTGTGGGTGTTTGGAAGTGGATCAGTTCAGGAGACACGCTTCTACACAAGTCCACACAGCAGCCGCTGCTGAGCGGCCTCCCTAATCCGGCCGCTTCAGGGCTGGAGACGCCAGGCAGATCAACCAATTAAAAGAGCTATGCCACATCCAGAAGCTGTAAGAAGGGCCTTCCTAGGACTGACAGAGAGCACAGGATACTCTCTATTAGAGCGATTTGGGAGCAACAGGATGCAATCTGACACGAGGCCGATTGTAGGACAGAGCTTATAGTGCAAAGGGTGCAAATGCACCTCCACTTTTGGACACTGGGAGATTTAGTGCGGGGGGCATAGCCGTCGATGGCAGGAGCCGCTGTTAGCGCAATAAGCACTTTGGGAAGAGTTTATTATGACCTCAGCACGGACATTAAGGGATTTGATCGTCACTCTGTTGTAAGCAAGCCCCAACAGAGACGCTTACTGGGGCATCAACTCTGAAAGGCTGAGCGCAATATGAGATGTTAAGGATCAAAGAGCTGCTAATTCGGGGATGAGATAATAACCTGCTTCCTTTACATCTCTAAATTCACCAAAACATGTGACGTTTAAAGATATCAATGTTCAACGTTCAGATGTGATGAACAACAAAGGAAAGTCTGGCATTAAGCATCCTAAGCAGAAAGGTCAAATGTAGCTGTTATATATAACACCTTACTTGATTCATTCACAGGGTGTGTGTGGCGCCACCTGTAGATTACTTCACAACCATATTCGTTACCGATAAGGTCACGTGTGCGTGCACTGCAGCATGTAACATGCGTTTGTGTTGTGGCTGGATGAAAGAGTGCAACAATCAAATGAAAGGAGCTTTATAAGAATGAAAATGCCAATTTTAAAACAATTTGTCTTACAGAGTCACAATATAAAAAAGATCATATGATAAAGCCCAATTTTAGAAAGCACAAGGTCATCTGTTCCAGCAATAAGAAAGGATGGTGTCCCTATCATGGTAAAAGTGGTGCTGGTGGATTTTCCGCTGAAAAGCGCTTTTTTTTTCTGCAAAACTGCCTACCTGAAGAATTAAAAATTCTGGAAGCACCATATAAATTCTATTTACATAACATAAAAACTGGCCAATAATCAAAATCTTTTTTTAAATATACCTTTTTTCCCTTATCTTCAAGAATCAGTCACCAGTTGTCTGTTTTTTTTTTGTCCTTGCTCTAATAACAATTATTCCCCTGAAAATATCTGCAACATTTGTGAGGAAGTGTACAAATTTAAAAATCCCTAAAAAGTAAATAAAAAAGGCTCTAAGGCATAAACTTACATATTCAAACTGGCAGGACCTTGTACAAACAACCTGAGTATACATGTGAATTTGTCAACATAACTGATGATCCTCTTTAGTAGTGTCCACAAATTTGTGAAGAACTGAAGTCCTTACAGAAATCCTTAGCGTCTTATCAGTACCGTCGCCATCTATCGGCTGCCCCCCCTTGGTGTGAGGTGCCGGGCTGCCGCTCTTGTTGTTCTGGTGGTGATAGCTGTCGCGGTTGTGTTGCTGATAACGGCCAGAACCTGCTTCATCTGCGTAACGCTGGTTTCTGCCGCCGCTGTTCACTTGGAATGGATGGTGGCGATAGGGGCTGTCATTGTGTTGCCTTGAGCCTCCTCTGCCTGAATCTCCAGCTGCAGGGGACTGCCTCTGTGGGGGCTTGGAGATGCTGCCATTCAACTGCTCAAGCTGCTGCGTGTGGAGCTTCCACATCATGTTGTTCATCTACAGATGAAGGAGACATAAAACAACTTGTAATTTATATGGCTCACTGAGGAAAAACAACTTGCTGCTATTCCTGTGAAATTGTGCCCATTTCTTAATTTGTCACTGAGGAACAGACAAACCTTAAATGAAGACCATAAAAATCTGTCACAATTATAATATGCAAGCAGTGTCATGTTGCTATTCAAAAAAATAAATAAATAAAATAAAAGGTCACCATGACATGCTTCTGTAGACTGTCCGGAGATGTAAAGGACCTCTGCGTTTGGGGGGGAGGAGTATATGTTGGAGGACTCAACTGGATTGGGTTCCTGGAATAGTGACACAAGGCAATGTCAAATATGTTCTTCTCAACACGTCAGGTGAACTTTCTATATATTGACCCCACATATATCAAAATTCCTTTTGACCTCAGTGTTTTTTAATTATTTAAATATTCTTTAGGTCATATTTTAATTTGTACTTTAGCTTTCTTTCACCTCTTTCTTTTTTTTCTATGGACAGGCCATACGTTTTAACATTTTTAGGCTCATATTCAAGTTCATACACATATTCACCTAGGGCAAACTTTCACAAATAGTTAAAGCAAGTAAAAGCACTAGTTAAATACACATTGTTGTCTTACTGAAAGATGGCAGGCTTATATTTATCTGGTTTTATATTGTTTTGATTATGTGTCATCTATAACACAGGCAAATATTTCACAGTATTTCAAGCACAGGATACTGAGCCTTCTGCCAAACATGCTGTAAACAACCAATTAGTACCCAGTCTAACAATATAAAATAACAGCACATAATTCATCTATACATTCACATCAGTAAGGAAACGGCTCAAAATAGCTACCACGTCTGATGTATCTTGCTTTTTTTTTCCACTATGGTTAGGTGTGTAATGCCAAGATTTGAAATGGAATACGTGATGAACAAGACGCCAAGTCTGGCAGATGCAGGGTTTACCTTCATGGATTTAGCTGCAACTAATGCTGCACTAACTGACCTGTTCATAAATGAAGTTTCTGACTCTTTTTCTGCAGTGAAGCTTCTTGCAGTCAGTTACTAAGACCCAGCTGACTGCTCACTCCACTGTCCCCAGGTCAGCAGTGGCAAATCAACAGTACTGGTGGAATTGGCCATGCCACATAATGCACTTGCACCTTCGTTGTGCTGTTTAATGCACATGTCTGCCTGTTTGCCATTATTCAGAACTTCTCACTTTGATGCCTTATGCTGTTTAAATCAGGTGAACAACAGCTGGCACATCTGCTTTGGAAAATTTGGTGGAAACTTAAACAAGCCCTGGAAAGTGATCTTTATCTTAAGGAAATGTTCATCTAGACATTATTTAGTCTTCTGTTTACTTTGTGGCAATAAGGACGGCCTTGTAAAGCAAAGTGATTTCTG